CACATTAGATTCTGTGAGACTAAATACTTTGAAGACTGCTGTATGGAATTTGTTGCAGARTATTTCTTGCACTGTGTGATGGTTTGGCATAAAATTAAGTATTAATGTCCAATGCCTTGAAATACAACCAGATTTAGTAATTTTAAACAATGTTGGTTTTTAAAGCTGTGATTTTTTTTTTCTATATAAAATACGTTTTTACTTCTGCCTGTACCAAAAAAGTTGATTTTCATTACACTGTAACTAATAAATTTTCACAACTATGCAAATGTAATCAGGTGTTTGCATTTTAACTCCAATTTCTTAGGGTTGGCAGTGCTCACCTATGATTTGTTTATGGGGACAGAATGTATGGGTTTGGAAGTTCCTTCTTCTGACTGGTGTCTCATGCACTATCATGGTGGTGTAAGGGTAAAACTGATTTATAGGATCATAGGATGGTTTGGGTTGGAAGGTCCTTAAAGATTGTGTAGTTCCAATCCCCCTGCCATGGGCAGGGATGCCTTCCACTAGATCAGGTTTCTCAAAGCCCCCATCCAACCTGGCCTTGAACACTTCGAGGAAAGCTGTTTGACAGCTTCTCCGAGCATCTTTTTTTCAGTGCCTCGCCACCCTCCCTTGTAAAGATTTCCTCCCTAATACCTAACCTAAACCTACTGCCTTTCAGTTTGGAACCATTCCTCCTTGTCCTGCCACTACATGTCCTTGCAGACAGTATCTTTCCATGTTTTTTTGTAGGCTCAGAAGTTAAGATACAGAGGGGAATCAATCACCAAGGCCCTGGTGACTTAATTGTTTCTAACCTTGTCCTTTCACTGGCACTGATGTTCGACTGGTACTGGCAGAATCTTTAGTCCTGAGCCAACACCTGGACTTGACCCCAGGCACTCTACCACATGCTGAGGGGCCCCTTTTTCACACTGSTGCCTGTAGCTTCTCAAAGAGCATCCAGAGAGTTCTGTGGCGCCTATACTTGAGATGATTTTTGAATGAATCATATATAAAGCTGCATACAATCCAGGCACAGCCTTTTTTTTTTCTTATACATTTCATAATCAGTGATTTTTAATCTAAGTCAATTGGCACATACTTACAATACTGCAGATTCTTTAAACTGCAGAAGCTACTGGAAGAAACTCCWTTTTTTAGAAGGGAAAACAGTCTTGCTTGCAGGAGATGTCCTGTGAGGTGCCAGAAAGAGTGCATTAATGCAGCATCCCACTGGGATGACTAGGCTGGTCCATCTTTGAAGCTGGAGTACCACACTATTGCATAGTCATTTTGGTCTTCACAAGAGCCATGAGAGCTGTTTTTCCTTCTACACATGAGTTCTGCAGCAGATGCTGACACTGTAGTGAAGCAGGATATTCTGGGACCTGTATGAACATTCTTGGAGCTGATCTCCATRGTAAAGAGTTTACTAATACAGCTAYACTGAGAAATCAAAATAAGTGCTGCTTATCCTGGCAGAAGAGTCACGTTGTTGATACACTTACTGATACACTATATTTTTCCAGGAGTGGGGTTTTTTTGTACAGCAGACAATGTATGCCAATAACATACATGCTGTGTCAATAGATCATATTTTAGAGCAAGCTGAGAATAATTCCAGCTTTTAGAGAGCAGTACAACTGAGGTGAATGAAGTTTAGTGTGTGCCACATTTCAGTTTATTGCACAGCAGAATGAACACTGTAGTGACCCAGATCTATTTCCAAAACATCACTTGGGAATCCAAACCTATCCCATTTGATAGATCTACATTGAACCCAGCTGGAATGAAATTCCTATTTGAAAGGGATGGTGACACGCCTGAAATAAACTTCAGCTTTAAAATATGAGTAAGACATGGATAAAATCTTACTCTGACATTGAGTCTAGATTTAAAAGGTCCCAACCAAAGTAGAAAATATTTTACCTTGTCTAGGTTTTAATATAAAGCCAATTCAGGTGAGTGTAAGTTTATGATTCATAAACAAATACATAAACATTTACAGTTTTGCAATTACACTAAGTTTTTAAGCTTCCCAAAATAAAGCTTTGTTTAAAAYATAAATGATGCATTGAAATAATTTAGATTTTAAAATACTTTTGAYGAACTGCAGCACTTTGGAGTAGAAGACTGGTGATTTCATCTTGCATTTGCGTTCTTAGTAAATTTTTGTAAATTAACATTTTTAGATGTTAATCTAAGACAAATACATATTTAAAAAGTGCATTAGCCACATAACTAGCCTGTATTTTGGGGGCACTCAAGAAGAAATCTATTAATATAGACTAAAGAGATGATTAATCTCTACAAATATTGTAATTTTAAAAACGGTAATTGGGAAGTGCTTTCACACTAAGACAATGTAGAAGCTACCTTGGGCTATAGATATCAGTAGCTTTTAAGCAATAGCAAATTTGYGAAAGATCTAGTTTTCTTTTTGAGATATCTTACTGTCTAAAGAGGATTGAAAGACCTGTGTTAGTATAATTGTAATAATAAAATACAAAGTTTCAATCTATGAAAAAATCTCAAATGCTTAGATTTCTAGAGACAAACTCTACAGCCCATGAGTTTTCCATTTTTCTTGTGAAACATAACTGGACAAATTTAACATGTCCTTTCTTGCCAGTCCTCTCACACCTGGCAGYATCAGGTCCCAGCTTCCCAATATTGCCCCTTGGTTATCCTGTTGGCAGAGAAATTTCTTGCCATATCTCAGCACAGGTTTACAAGCAGTTTTATTCCCTTGGGATCCCAGTTTGCATCTCCCTGGATTCTCTGTGAGGCTGTGGGAATAACAGTTACTACAGCTGAATGTGATAGTTGCAAACAGACGATAATAAAGGAAAGGGTGGCACTAGTGACAAGGGCTTATCTGTGGGGAATGGCAGCAAAAGTTGGGGCCCACAAGACAGTGGGGAAGATAAATTAGGAATGAGATATAGTTTTAGCACAAGAAATATGATTAACTTTTGTAGCCCATATAATTATTTAKGCACAGAATTAGTTCTTAATTTTTAGATGCCACAGAATGAATTCTTAAATTTTAGATGCCTATATRTCCAAATTTCCTATGCAGTCAATTTCCTATTGCATTTTTCCTATGACAAAGAGGCTTTTTGAGCCTCCAGAGCAAAATACATTTGCACAAGTCATGTGCTCCCCCCAGTGGTCTTGGCTGATGCTCTCTGTGCTCTGGAGAACTAAAAGGTATTTGTTTTAGGGAAACTGTTYCACAGCCAGCTGSAAAGTCTTAAGATTGGACTACATGYTTATWAAGTTATTTAWTTAAATARTTATAATTATTTTTTCCTTAAAATCAAGTAAATACATAAATACTTGGTGAATGTGGATTTTGGCAACWCTCTAGAGTGATGCACAGGAAGGACTACAGAGTCCTCACAAAACAGACTTTAATGCAGAAGTGGCAGTAAAGTGAGAAACATTCAATRTTGCATTAGCTTGAGCAATGCCTGCTAAAGCAGATATTACGGGATACAAGTACATCCTCCCACACTGAATTGCACTGTGAAGTGACTGTTTCTTCGTGGAAAGGGTTTTAGGCACTGGAACAGGCCGCCCCGGTGGGGGTGATGGAGTCRCTGTCCCTGGAGGTGTTYAAGAAAAGACTGSAAATGGTACTCAGTGCCATGATGTAATTGACAGAAGTCTTTTCCAGCCTAATTATTTCTGTGATTCTATTTAGTGCAGTCAGATTAGTTCCTGAGTGAAATGTAACAAAAACATCCMTATGTGTAAATATCTAAAGGGTAGGTGTCAAGGTGAGGGAGCCAGACTCTTCTCAGTGGTGCCAACCAACAGAACAAGAGGCAACAAGCAGAAACTGATGCGCAGGAAGTTCCACTTGAATATGGAGAAGAACTTCTTTCCTGTGTGGGTGACTGAGCACTGGGACAGATTGTTCAGAGAGATTTGTAGAGTCTCCCTCACTGGAGATACAAAAGAACTGTCTGGATTCAATCCTGTGCCATGTGCTCTGGGATGRCCCTGAGCAGGGAGGTTGGACCAGATGACCCACTGTGATCTTTTCCAAACTTACCCATTCTGAGATTCTGYATTCACTGAGCTGATTCATTCACACGCCTCCTGACAGCAGAGCAGGCGTACAGCGCACAACAGTTCCCAAAAGCAGCAGACAGCACACAGGGCTTCATTAAGAGAAGCTCTTACAACTCTCCCTCATTATTGCATCTCTACAGTGCCACTGATCCTCTTTGTGARGGTAGGAAGCAGAAGCTCACTTCTCCATTTTTGACCCAATGGATGCTGCCTTTTACCCTCACTGCTCCTCCCGAGGGGTGGGGGACTCTTCTGGAGCCCTGAGCAGGGGTGACAAGGCTCCAGGGATACAAGGCTGCGGGCCCAGGCCTTACCCCAACCCTGGGCACRAGKTGSGGGAGCYCTGCCCTAAATGTTCTGCCTGGYCAGYACACAGAACACGTCTTCKGAGGAGCGGCTGAGGGAGCTGGAGGTGTTCGGCCTGAAGGCGGCTCTGGGCAGACATCTTTGCGCTCTAAAACTCCCTGAGAAAAGGCTGGGGTGAGGTGGGGAGTGCTCTGTTTTGCCGTGCCTGAAGTGAGAAGACAAGAGAAAATGGCCTTAAAGTGAGATTCAATTTATGAATTTAATTTATTAATTTAATCTAAGTCAGATTAGATATAGGAAAAAAAAAATACACTGTTAGGATGGTCAGGCACCGGAATAGGTTGCCCAGGGCGGTGGAGTCACCATCCCTGGAGGTATTCAAGGTGTCTGGATGTGGCACACACAGGGTGACRCGGTTCAGTGGTTTAGGGTGACAGTGGCTGTGCCGGGTGGATGGTCAGTGGAGGATCTTGTCGGTCTCTTCCAATCTCCCCATCTCCAACCCCACSACTCCATGGTTTGGGGACGCGCGCGCCCGTGACGCGTCACCCCCCGCGCGCCCGCCGCGTCCCCTCCCGCCGCWGCCGCACCGAGTGCGCAGGCGCGGTGCCCCCGGTCACGTGCCCGCGGCGGCGGCGGCGGCGTCATGGCGGTGAACTACAGCGCCAAGGAAGAGGCGGACGGGCACCCCTCGGGCGGCGTCGGGGTGCCGGGCGGCGGCGCGGTGGGCGGCGGCGGCGGGGGCGCCGTGAAGACCCGCAAGCCCGACAACACCGCGTTTAAACAGCAGCGGCTGCCGGCCTGGCAGCCCATCCTGACGGCGGGCACGGTGCTGCCGGCCTTCTTCATCATCGGCCTCATCTTCATCCCCATCGGCATCGGCATCTTCGTCACCTCCAACAACATCCGCGAATACGAGGTGCGCGGGGCGGGGCTGCCCGGCCGGGGCTTTGGGAGCCCTCGGGGAGGCCGGCTCGGCTCGGGTCGGGTCGGGCAGGGCGAGCGGGGATCGCCTGCCCGCAGGCCGCCTGCCACTCCGGGAAATGCGGTTCTCCCGTCCTGCCGGGACGCGGCCGAGTCCCGGGAGGGGTCGGTGCGGAGCGGACGCGGAGCCCGGGCGGCTCCGATCCGCCGTAACGTCCGTGCTCGTCAGCAAAGCGTCCATTAATTACCCTGAGAMGGCACCGAGCTGACAGTCACCTCCGCTTAGGCTGTCGCCCTTCTGTCAGTCTTGCCAGGGCTCCCGAGGGAGGTTACTGCCAGCATTTAATCGACACAGCCCAGTGCACGTTTTTTCCTCAGCAGTACGGATGTGCATCATCCTTCGGATAGCGTGTGGCAGTTCGTTATATATCTTCAAATGTTCCAAAGTAATTGTATTTTTAAGACAAAGCTCTGTGGTGAATATATGGCTGTAATTCCTACTTTCACCGATGGTTTAATGTTGCAGGTGCTCTATGGAGCACCTTAGGGAGACTAGGGTGTCCGGAGTAAACTTTGAAACAAGGATCGAAGAGTATGGCTTTTTCTAATTAACACGTAAAAAATCTGAGTCATTTRCATCTGATTATTAGCCCTGCTACTGCTGTGAAAAGTTGCTGAGCGTTAGCTAAAAACTGAACTGTGTATCACAGATGGGTCCATCTGATACCAGAACCAGTTTGTGTTGTGCAGAGGTAACCTGCAGGGCTTTGGGACAACCTTGAGAAGCAAATTGACTTCTAGTTTTAATGTCTGTCAGCTAATGTGATTGAGATTGATTGTGGGGAAGAAAGTGTGTAGTTGTTTGTTGTATTGTTTTTTTGGAGAATATTAACCTTTTTGGATCAAATCAGTCTAGTTACTGGACTAAGCTGTCACTTTCAAATGAGTAGTGTTTAAGACTGTAGATTGGCTGGTGGCAGTAATCTGGCAGTGAAGCCAAATTAGCTAAAGTAATATGAGGTAAGGAATAAATGGTATTTTCATGTTTCTGTTAAAATGCAAAAGTGTTATAATAAAACCGATTTTGCCCCCCTTTTATGTTCAGATCTACAGTTCCAGTTAAGGAGAAAAGAAGGGGAAAACCCCAAAGTTGAAGTGTATTTTACAGCATCCAAATTTGTGTATAAGCATGTTTTTTGGAAAGCAGTTGCTTCTTATGTCAAGTATTGGAGGTGTGCTGACCATCTGAAAATTGGCACAAGTGCTTCAGAGAACATAGTCAAGTTGTCATGGGCACATAGACTTTTAAATTGTCATGTTATATTTAAGGTAAATACAATTGCATGTTTTCAGTGTGGCACTCAGTGGAGAGAAGTTAAAAATACCCTTGCTAACTCTGATTTTTTTTTGACAACTGCATTTAAAATAGTCATTTCTATAGTAAAACAGTACAAAGTTATAGATCATTATATATATGGACTTATAGCTATGTCATTATATGTCTATATATATGTCTATATATAGATCATATATAATTGGACAAATGTATCCTTTTTCTATTGTGACTGAATCTGCATTGATCTATAGGAACAAGAAATGTATCAGTTTCATGAGTCCAAAAACGTAAGCATCTTCTTGYGCCTATATTGCTGCTATATGCATATACAGAATTTTTGTATATTGTAGTTGCTTAAGCAGCTCAGTCATGTACTCCTGGTAAGTTCCAGTAGAAGACAAAAACTAGATGTCCCCGCCTAACATTGGCACAAAAAGTCATAGGTGAACTGGGAGCATGATCATGCTTCTCTACACAATCAGGTTGCATATATATATGCCCACCGTACCTATTTGTATTGGGGGCCAATTGGCAGGCACTGCCCTTCAGTCCTCTGTAATTTCAAGATATTCAGGACTGGAAAAGGTTTCATTAATTTGTTTGTTTTGCTGTGTGGGTTTACTCTTTCACCTTGTGAAATTCTCAGAAATCTGATTGTTATGCTTTTGTGAGGACAGGAGGGGCAAGAGTTCTTGACTTTGGAGTGTATGGTAAGTCAGAATGGGGAAACTTGTGTTCTGTTCCCTGATCCTCATACATGTTTTATGAAGTGTTTATCCAGTGGCATTCTGAAAGTGAGATTATCATCCTAAAGGCAGCTGAATTTCAAGAAAAATAAGTTTAAATCTGTAAAGGCCTTATAGTTGCAGCAACAAAACACAGATTTTTTTTACCGATTAGGACCAACATTTGGGCTATAAACACCAGTGAGGGGTGCAGTTTAAGACACTGCTATCACATATATGCTTAGCTGATGTATGTCCCTGCTTAAAATGCTGACTTTTGTTATAATCTCCAGATGTTATTCACAAATACCTGTAAGTTTGGCTGTGGGAGACAAGACATCTAGAAGCTAAGTACAGTGACTAAGCTCTTTAAGAAATGTAATCGGGGGAGGAAGCAGAGGTAGTTATTTACACCTACCTCCTAGGCAATAGCACACCTCTTAAGTGTGTGTGTATGTGCCTGTAAACTTAGTGTATTGGAATTGAATAGGTTGTATAATTTATGCCCCTGAAATACATATTTAAGTTCAAGTCAGTCTTTCCTGAAACAAGATACTGTAGCCATTAGTATCTTTGTGGACTGTACTGTTCYACAGGTGCAAGGACTGAGCAGCAAAATGTACCTCTTCCATTGATTTCCTTTATGAGCTCTCTTGAACTGAAATGTGGAAGATTTCCAGCAGCTTGAGTGTACTAGAATTACCTTTTTTGTTGCATTTTCTTTTGCATTTTTTAACTGTTTTAAAAGGGTATGATCAGCCCTTTATCTTGGGTCTGTCATGAAAATAGTTCATTTGGGTGGGAAGTTAATCAGCTATGTAAATGTCTTTTTGCCTGTTACTGAAGGTGACAGACTTACGTATTTCCTGGGGGGTGGGGTGTTTTGTTTTTTGGTTTTTTTTTTAAATATATAGAGTGAATAAGAAGTATTGACAGAGCATATTAATAAATAATAAAATGTGAGAAATATACAAAGTATTAAATGTAGGAAAGAGATGTTGGTGCTGTAATTGCTGCTGTGAAATGTATAATGGTAGATAAAAAGCCGGATTGACTTAAGGCATGGCTAGGAGAACTGAAAGTACATTACTGTTGCTTACATCTTCGGCCTTGTGTTCAGATCCTGTAGCCCCATGTCAAAAATTAAACAAAACTTAATAAAACCTACAGAGAGGAACAGCAAAGAGGACCAGATTTATGAGTTGCCTTTTATACTAGAAATGGTCAAGCAGAGTAGGATAAATATGTGACAAAGTATGAAGTCTATAAAATCACAAATAGTTTTGACAATATGCATATACAATAGTTTTGTTATTTCTATAGGTGTATATCAGCTGACATCAACAGCCTGAACAGTGTGGGATAACTTGGATATCCCCGATGTCCTTAAATCTGGAGTTGTTGGGAAGGGCTCACTGTGCTGGGTTGTCGTACTCAGCTGCTGGCCAGTCCCAGGGGATGGAGCAGTGGGGTCAGGCAAGTTTTTGCCCTGGACTCCAAAGTCAGTCCTTGGCTCTCAAAGTGGTTTTGTTACTTTATCAAGAGTTGAGGATTGATATCTTTTTTCCTTTAAACGAGCTCTCTGTTGAACGTGATCCGGTAAATGTGAATGCAGAAAAAAACACTTGTGTTGGCAGTTACTATAMAGGAAAGCTCTTTGATAGCATGCAAGCTGATAGCAGTCATCAAAAGCATGGTCCTGCTTCAATGTACATCAGTTTCATATTCCACAGAGTTTAGTCAATTACATTTTTACAAGTGAAGTCTTTAGGTCTTTAGCAACCTTAGTCTTTAATGTTCGTTTTTGATCTAAAACATCTCACACTGGCAAGTTCTTTCCAAACTAAATGCTTGCTTCAGCTTATTTTAGCAGAMCACACCCACCCCCGAGTTAGCCTTCAACAGATGAGATGCATTGTTCATTGAGAGTAGCAGTCGGGTTTGTCTGCTCTAGCTAAACAGAGCTGTTCAAGGCTGCTGCAGTAGTGCTATTTCTAGATCAGCATAAACTCAATGTCTTATTYAGCCAAGGGACAAAGATTGTGGTCCTCTCTCAATCTCTCTCTCTGCCAGCTAAGAGCTTCTGAAGCCTCTTGCTTYAGCTAGGCTCATTAGGCTGTAGGATTTGTATTTCAGAAATCTGGCAGCAGAGCAGATGCCAATCAATAAAATGTCTTGCTGATGGAACTTGCAGTTGCAGYTTAATAGATATTGGAGAAATCACAGGAAAAGGGACCCTGCAGAGGAAAATTGGATTCACTTGCTTCCTGAATACACCATGTGTGWTTGTTTTAGGTAACCTTAATACAGGTCTTAGGACAGATCATAAATCACTAATTCTTGGTTATGCTTTTTACTRGAAACATAAATTAGAACAGTAGTTTGTAGCAGCAGTTATTGTAATATAACTGTATAGATGTTGTAGTTTAAATGCTACTGCTGCTAAACAGTTTTTTTTGCAGTAAGTGTAAGGTATATATTTCATCAGTCTGAGTCTAAATTCTAAAATGGGAAATTCATGGTGTAGAAATACATCTTTTACAGGCAGATAGAAGCTTTCTCTTGGCATACTTTCTGGAGCTACATGTGATAGAGGGCTAATGCGGTCAAGTCATTTGAGTTGGCTTAGACTGTAGGGTGAGCTCAATACTCTGCTAAGGGTATTTTGTTAATACTGAATGTACAGATTAAAAAAACTGGGTTTTTTTGGGCTACACTATTCCAGACAGATAATATTGTATCAGACAGATTAATACTGATCATCTTTCTTGTCCATATACTGGTTATTTTACCGTTCCTGACAAAACAATATTGGTATATTAATCTTTGCTGTTTTAGGACAATTTCTCGGCATTAAGTGATCTTTTACATTTATTTTTTTAGTCTTCTAATTAGGTGGCTAAAAATGGTCAACAAAACATGTTTCCTTATTAAGTATTAATAGGTATCTAAGACCTAGACTTTTAAATGCCTGATCTCTCTGGAAAGCGTGTAAAAGCTAAGATCTGCTTRTCATAGTGGGTCTGTTTAGAAACAGCATGTTGTCTGGAGTATCTGCTGGTTGTGTTTTGGTGTGGATTTTTGGATGGTTCGTTTGTGGGGTTTCTATGTTGGTTTCGTTTGGCTTTGTCCCAGCAGTATTCTCGCCTCAGTGTTAAATTTGTTTGCGTCTGAAATCAAGCATATAGTCAGAGTCAGAAACTGGTTTATGGAATCACAGAATGGTTAAGGTTGGAAGAGGCTTCTTGAGATTGTCAGATAGGGCTGAATGGACTTTTGGTATAATATTATTGCAAAGGTGAGGTCTACTGTGATTGCAAAATGAATGGCACAACAACTCTCTGTCTTATTAATAATTTTTCTTTATTCTCTTTGTAMATTAATGACTATTTTTCCTGTTGCAGATTGACTATACAGGAACAGAGCCTTCTAGTCCCTGCAACAAATGCTTRAATGTGTCCTGGGACAGCACGCCCCCTTGTACATGCACCATCAATTTTACACTGGAACATTCATTTGAGGTATGCTGCCCTGTGTGCAGAATGAAATCAGAACAGTTTRTATGATCTATTTCATATTGAAAATGAAAGTTTTATCACTTAAGTATTTTTTTCCTCTTTTTCTGCTTTAAAGGATTATTTCTAGCTTTCCTATGAACTTGGATCTGATTTTAGTTTCCCCTTTTTCATTAGCAGGGATGAGATGTTTATTAATGCCTCTTTATCTGGAAGTACACGTACATGTACAACATTAAGTGGAATGCTTGTGTTTTATGCATTCAAAGTTATGCTATGTATCACATATCTGGAGAGTAGATCAGCTATTCCTGYATGATTTACAAAAACTCAATAAAACAAGAATTGGAAATACCAGATAAGTGCTTTCTGGCAAATTGAAAGCAAATGAGGCTTATAGGTTCTACATCAGGCTAGACAGGCATTGAGATTAGTGCTGGAAAATATTATTCTGATAGTTTGTGGCATGTTTATATTGTTTGACTTAAGCCTGCCAGCTTGTGTTCGGATAGTACTCTTATGACTCGGTATGAAGAAAGGATTGAGCTTCTTACTTGATGGATGTTGCTTTAAACATAGAGTTTAAGATCTTAAAATTGAAGGTTTGTGTGAATGAAAATTCCTCTTTCCCCATCTTGCTTCTTGTAGAGCAATGTATTCATGTACTATGGACTTTCCAACTTCTATCAAAACCACCGTCGTTACGTGAAATCTCGAGATGACAGCCAGCTAAATGGAGACAACAGTTCACTACTTGTAGGTATTCATGCTTGGATGTGAATGAGCAATTGATTTCTGACTATTGCATAAATCACCACATAGAGTATTTAGTTGAATGAGAATGAAGTACTAGAATTTTTGCATAACAGAAGGCAACCATAAGGAATTGATATTTTGTTTATTGAAAATAACTGTAAAGTATTATAACATTACATGTTGATCATGTAATAAAAACCAGGTTAGTTGTATAAACTAGCACAGACTCATTTGCCTTTTTTCTTTCTAACTGTCAGAATCCAAGTAAGGAATGTGAGCCTTACCGCACAAATGAGGACAAACCCATTGCTCCTTGTGGAGCTATTGCCAACAGTATGTTTAATGGTATGGTAACACTTTTAAGTTATCATTTAGATGGCTCTGTGATCTAGTGTATGTTTTCTGTTGTATTGCACATCATTCTGAGTTAAGATAYTAAGGGTTTTATTGTTTCGAATTAACACATTTTCATTGTTCAGAATAAAATAAATGTCTTGTACAGCTGTTACTTGTTTCAAAATTGCTAGAATTCATAGAATCTCATAGTACGTAAAGAATGGAAATAGCTGTTGTGACAAGGTGCTTCTGCTGTGATGTAGAAACATAGATATCATATATGGATAATAAGCTGCTATCTCATATCCACTGATACTTATAGAACAGCTTGTGATTGTGTCAAGTAGATAGTAAATGCCTTGCCCTGTTGTTTTTGTTTTGTTTTCTCCTGGAGCTAATTGTTTCACTGCTTATCAAGATCGTCTGTCTAATGAAAGTTTCTGCAGCTGGTTTTCTAATTTGATTTTGTCTTTAGATACACTGGAGTTATACCGCATTGATAATGACACAAGGACTCCAATTACTTTGATTAAAAAAGGCATTGCATGGTGGACAGATAAAAATGTAAAGTTCAGGAATCCTACAGGAGATGGAAACAACTTAACTGCTCTTTTCCAAGGTAAAAAAAAAAGTGAAATTTTAAGAGTGGCATGCTCTTATGCTTCAGACACCCGTTGATTGCAGTTTTGATTTCAAAAACATTGTGATTTCAGAGTTTTGCCTCACTGACATTTTACTGAATGTGCTAAATAAATGTTCTCTGAAGAAATTGAAGCTAAGTACTACTCTGCTATCTTAAAAGTTGTCTTTCAGTAATGAAAGGTGCAAGTTTCTAATGAAAGTGTTTTGTTTTTACCTTCACTGTAATCATTAATTCGGGGTTTTTTTAATTACTGATTTTTTTTTACCCTGAATGCTAAAAAATGTATAATGTGCACTGCTGGGGTTTAACCCCAGTTAGGAACTAAGCATTGCACAGTGTGTCACTACCCATGCCCTTGCTGGGTGGGAGAAGGGAAGAGTTGGAAGGGCAAAAGTGAGAAGGCGCATAGGTTGAGGTAAAGACAGCTTAGCAGTTAACCAGACGAAAAACACAAAAAAGAGAGAGGAAAATAAAACCCAAGACAAACAAGTAATGTAAAAGAAAATAATTGCTCACCACTGTCTGARTCCCCAAGCAAAAGCAGGCCCTGCTTACTTCTACCTGCCCATTTGTTTTGCTGAGTCTGATGTGGTATGTTATGGGATATCCCTTTGATCAGCTGGGATCAGCTATGCCACCTGTGTCCCCTCCTGATCTCTTGTGGACCTCCAGTCTCCTTCCTCCTAGGATAAGGTGAGAAGTAGAAGAGAGTTTGATGCTGGCAAATACTGCTTAGCAATAACAAAAACATCACTGTTTATCGACACTCTGTCCAGCACAAATCCAAAACATTGACCCACATCAGCTACTGTGAAGAAATTTAATTTTATTCCATTCAAGATCAGTACAACTTCTGTCATGCTTGGATTTAACTTGTAAAAAAATCCTGAAGTTGTTAAATGAAACCCTCCGCATGGACTTTTCATTTAAATGTTTCTACAGCTCGATTGTGCTGTTCTCTAAAAAACAAATTATTTCTTGGTTATTAGAAGTGACTGGTGTCACTCACTGGTTAGGTTATATAAAATGTGGCAAATAGAAGTTTCCTGTGGCTACTGTAGCTGAAAAGTCTTCTTAGGGCTCTAAGAGCATGTATGTTTATGCAAGGTATATAATAACTACTGGTTTAACCTGATTTAGGTATCTTGCTTAGTCATAGCCAAATTACATGTTGTCAGTATGATGGCTACCCTTGGAAAAGCAGATACCTTAATCCAATGTGGAATTGTATTTCCAATAGCATTAGTAAAAGCATTTGTATGTAATCTGAAATGGTGTTTACAATATTACTTGCTTGTGGTTCAGGAAATGGTTCTCAAACTCCAAAAAGTGAGCAAAGGACTTTCATAATGGAGAACCCTCACCAAGCAGTGCTTTGAGACAAGACTTTCTACCTGTATGAATTGTTTAAACAAATGGACAGTGCTGTCATGAGTTATGTTGTTTATTTATAGAATTTAAACTCTTTAAACTGCAAAATAATAAATTCTTAAACATCCTAGTATGTTGCAATAGTAGTGAGTCAGCCCGTTTCTTCATACTGTTTAGAAGTTAATGTGGGTTTTTTGTGATATTTGAATGGATTTTGATGAGCCAGTGCATTACTCAGTCCTGTATTCAAAATACTTTGTTATTATTTTTGTTTAATCCTAGGCACAACAAAACCTGTGAACTGGCCCAAGCCAGTGTATATGCTGGACTCAGAGCCTGACAACAATGGCTTTATCAATGAGGACTTYATTGTGTGGATGCGCACGGCTGCTCTGCCAACATTTCGCAAGCTGTATCGTCTCATTGAAAGGAAGAATAACTTACAGCCTACCTTACAGGCTGGAAAATATTCTTTGGATATTGCATACAGTATCCTTTGAAAAGCCTTTGAAAGCGGGCTTTAGCTGGATTGCACAAACATATATTTGCAAGTTCAGATTGAGCTAGCCTTTCTTCGTACCATCTCTGAAAAAAATATGGTATTGAGCTGTAGTTGAAAASTGGCACTGAAATCTAGATAGACTGCTTCCATCTTCTGTGCTAGTTCTATAACATTAGTGGCTTCACAGAGACTGAGAAATCAGATTACTTGGGTGCTGTGAAGGAATTGAGAAAAGCGTGGGAAATAAGGAAAGAACAGAGATAGTTGGTAACCTAGAAATTTATGGACTGTTCAAGAAATGACAGTATGTAATGAAGGGCAGACTCTGGAGGCCAGAAAAATGACAGAGCTGTGAATCAGGTGAAAGTCTGTCATTCTCTTTTGGGCAGACTAARTATTAGGTAGAAATGGAGGGACTAGAGAAGGAGGGTTGTCATAGTAACTGAATTCTTAAAATTCAAAAGTACTTAATGATACTTTTTGTATAGCTACTGCAGTATTTTCCTTTGCTGTAAAACAGTATGGAGTGCATATAAAACTGAATTAACATAAAAAATTTGTACTATAATATACACAAGGACTAAAATTYGTATTTCCCTCATTTTATTGAAGCTGCTTTCATAGACCCACAAAATGCATTTTACTTCAGGATTAATATCTGCTAATGTGGCCTTTGTCTTGAAGTAGCTCATAATGCCCAGATTAGTTTCAGCCTAAAAAGAACAGCTGAATGTTTCATATTTGCACTTCCAATTACAAAGGCAGCAGTTAATATTTTATAACCTGAGCAAAATGACCCAAAATTTTCATCTGCCCACTTCAAGCTAGGTTTGGAAACTTGCTTCTTATTTTCCTAAATGTTTTTCAGATTATCCTGTACACAGTTTTGATGGACGAAAAAGGATGATCCTAAGCACCATCTCATGGATGGGAGGCAAAAATCCCTTCCTGGGAATTGCTTACATCACTGTTGGGTCCATATGCTTCTTCTTAGGAGTGGTATTGCTGATCATTCATCACAAATATGGCAATCGAAACACTAGTGCAGACATTCCCAATTAATCTTGCATTCTGAAAACAAATGTACTGCATGTGCATCAAGGCCAGTCCAGAACGGACCCAGTTTTTGAAAGATAAATCTCTGCTTCTGTCTCTTCTGAGACTGGGTGCATAATTTTTACCTAAAGCTCCCCCTTCCCATACTGTGGATTAACTCTTGAAAATGACGGGTATACAATTAGCTCTATTGATTGTATCTCTGCCTATGTCAGAAACAATTTTCTGATGTTTGCCTCTAACTGGGCAGGCCACATGATGCATATAGCTCCTGTTCCCTTGATGCATCTGCTGCTTGTTCACGTGCTGTGTAATGTCGATATGATTCAGTACATTTAGATTGTGTGGMGAAAGACGGTTATGAGATACTGTAAATTGTTGACTTTCCAGAATTCAGGTGTCAGTGCTGTTGAAAAAAGTCAAGTCTTAAATGTTTTTTTCGATTTACTGTCTTGTGTGCATGGGCTCCTACATTTCTTGCTGAGATTTTAATATATTTATATAAGTTGTTAAATATTTTTCCTGTGTCCTACCCACCTCTGTTATGTTAAATCCTTTAAGTGCTCCATAAACTTCAGCACTCTGGATTCTTTGTATATTTACAAAATATGTGCCTGGCCAGTAAACGACCATCCTATAAAGCTACTGGAAAACTTATTCATTATCCATGTGAGTACTTTTAAAAGATTGTTCTAAATTTGGACATGCTTGTTGCAGGTATTTTTTTTTCTAATTTTTTTTTGTTTTAAGTCATATCCAATACTMGTTCACTTTTTGCTGCTTTTGCTTTCTATGAGCAGCTCCAGGCATTAATCAAGAAGAACCAAAAAGGTTTTTCTTCCATTCACAAATTGGGGTGAATTCCTTTTACTGGAGGAGTCTCCTAAGTTCTTAAAGCATATGTATTCTGAGCAGGCTTTGTTTTATGGGAATTGTATACTTCTTCCTTATTTGGAGTGAACACCACATTATTTTTTGCRGTGTTAAGGAAGTAAACTATAGAAGTTCAGAAGTTGAGATGGCAGTGACCTTTTTTCCATGAAATACAGGTTTAGCTTGCTGTGAAACATAACTTAAATATTGCAGTTAGATGCAATGTGCAGGTTAGTGTCTTAAATTACAGAAGGATTCACCTTTAGGTTAATTAAAAGTTAACTGCAACCTGTAACAAATTATTTTTGGTGACTTTTTTTTTTAGATGATGCACAGAAACTGTAATGTATATGGTGGAGATCACTTTATATGCAACTAGCTTGATGAAGTATGGAGTATATTAAAAGAGACCTAATAAATTCTGCAAACCATTTAATAAGAGATTTGGTTTTGTTCTTGAACATACATTTATTTTTATCTCCATGGAAATACATTAAGTGTAAATGCAGTTTTAAATGAGTTGTATTTCTGGGATTGCATATTTATTACAAAAATGCATGGTCCAATAGCTTAATCTAAAGGCAGCTTTAAACAAAACTATTAATTTATCATGTAATTACTTGACTGGTTTTACATAATTACTTGTGTAGCCTAAGAATTTAAATGTGTAATGCAGGATAAACTGTGGAATGAGGCACCATTTCCAGTGTGCTAGCTCTCTGTAACTCCATATAGTAATATATGTGCATAGTGCAGCCTGGCAGAACAGGGATTTCAAATAGTAGTTTTTAAGACTTAATTTACAATGCTGCATTCATGTTGTTGGAGTTACAGAATAATGGTAATGTATCCTTGAAAACTCACAGGACATATTAAACTGGCTTTCAACTGTAGAGTGGCTGCTAGGCCTAAAAAGAGTAAATGAGCAAGGGGATGTCTCACAATTACTGCCTATTAAAATATTTTTATTTTTAAATTTTGTGGTTGTCACTTGAAATACAAATACATTCTGCTTCATTCAAAATTCCTATTTTTTTTCCAAGTGGGAAAGGCTGCTTTTTTGGCTGTGCTTAAAATTAAAACAGAAGTATTTTAAGTATTCTTCTATCTTCACCTTGGAATAATTTTCAATGCTTTACCTTTTTTTTACTGACTATAGCTACCTGTGCATCTTCGATCTCAATGAAGTKCACCAGGGTGAGAATTTCATCTTTTTGGTTTTTGTTGCAATTAAGCGGATTCTTTGAGCGTCTGTAGAAGTAAATATATGGGATAGCATGCCCATGGAGCTTAAAATGCTTATAAGAGTTTACAAYATTGATCAAATTTATAAACTCTTCTTTCACTCATGCTCATTTGTCTGGATTTCATGTTGATAAATATGGAAATCCTTGGAGAATCCTTGGAATCCTTCAAGGATTAATTGTGAATATTAAACCTTGAAGGATGCAAGTCTTATCTTTTTAATAGAAATCTCTGAGGGAGGAAAGGCCATAACAGTCTAGATCAATTTACATCTTCAAATACAAATACATGTCATCTGCTTGAATCCATCAGAGCAATGAACATGGCTGGTTGGTTTGGATTCACAGGATGTGTTATTGACTGTGCCCTTCCCTCAGCTTTCTTGCAGTGGGAAGATTAGGGGCAGAATTGAGAGTGCCTGGTGGTCTCATGTAACTTAAGTCTAAGTTATTAGTACCTATAGTAACGTAAAAAAAGAAACTACTGAAATGCAACTGCTGAGGACAAAAAATATTACATAAACACAGAGTAATCGTATCTTCAAAGTTCCTGTGACACAACAATGGTTTCTGATCTTTCCTGAAAATGTAATCTACGCTTGGTAATACAAAAGGTTTGTTTCTTTTTAATAAAAGTTCAATAACCCAACATAAAAGCCCTCCAATACCTCAGAATGTTCCACATATAAAATGCTTGTCTGTATTTAACAACAAGAAAATGCTGTCTTTCAAAGTAGAAGAAAAAACTGAAAATCTAAGTCAATCTTATTTCTGCTTTCTTCTTAGCAGTGTGGTCAGATTATGAAAGAGACTGCTTCTGGCAGTGTGAAAGTAGCTCTGAGGTCTATTTTCAGAAAACCCAGTTGTGAAAATTTTGGGGYTTTGTTTAGTAATAGTATTAAATTCTCAGAGCAGCAGAAGTGTTTTCATGTAAGTATTCCCTWCCTTCTAGCTCACAGAATTGTATTGCTTTCCGTGCCTACATATGAAGTTTAATCTTACATGACAGTTTCACTTAAGACTGAAGACCATTAGGAAATGGCCTGATAAGAATTAGCAGGTCCTTACATGACCTGAGTCTCAAATAAGAAACTACCTCCCCATAAGCCTCTCATTCTGAACATCCTCAGCCTCAGTTTGAAAGTAAAATGATACTGTCCATTTGAGTTATATTAACGGCTTCTACAAAGTCTGAAGTTGGAAGATTATCTCTCTCTTTTCCTGTTGGGGATGAAATAAAAAACCAAAAGTGTAAGTCAATCAGTAAGGAAGCTCAAGAAGTCTAAAAGGAGTATAAATTGAAAGAAAGTAGATGGAGATCTTTCTCACTGGACCCTGATTTCAGATAAAGATCACATAAACAATTCAAGAAAATGGAATACCAGAGTTATGTGCAAATTTAACTGAATTTTTACCTGAGGATTGTGCTCAAATTTTGCAAAATAAAATGGTGAGATAATTAAAATATTGTTAGAGATTCAAGAATGTAATTAATTACCTCATTGATTCTATTATAAAAATGGGAAGGACTGGACTATGATATTCTTGGAAGAAATGAAAATATGATTGACTCTAGGGTCGCCTAATGAGGCCTCATACTACGTGGTTGAAGTAAGGGTATGCAATCACAAAAGACACTTGTAAAATTGGAACAAATCTTTGTTCTGTCAGCAACTTTTTTCAAATGCAGCTTTAGGGTATTGTGCAACCAAAAGTAGAAAAATGGCTGTATTAAGGTAGAATAATTTTCTCTCTTTGTACACTCTACAGCTTTTAACTAGGTTAGTCAATTATTTTGTTTGGTGGGAAAAAAATTAAAACTAACATGCAAGAATACCAGAAGGAGGCTGAAAAGATTGCCACTTTGAGTTCCATGAGGGGGATCTGCTTCCACAGTTGGGCTGAATGCATTTCAATTGTGTGACCTCTTTAGCAGGGTTTATGTGCTCTTGTATTACTAGTTTAAGAGGTAGAACRTTGTTTTGTGATGAATGCTATTTAACAGCTAGATTTACAGCCCTATTTTCTTTGTGGCTTAAACAAAATTGTTCAACAGTGAGCTTTGATAAACAATTTTATTCAATGCAGTACATGCAAAAGTTGCTCTGTTCAGTTAGGAAGAAGCAGTCTGTTTCTGACAAAACATAATCCTGAAGCAGCAAGCTGCCATTTCTCATTTCCTCACGTTTTCATTTTTCCACAAATTAGTCAACACTGAAGAGACCAGCTGTGCTTGCTCTGAGCACTCATCATGTAGCTTTGATTCGTAGGTAACCCAGAGGCCAAGCTTAAAGTATGGCCTTGCTATTGTGAAGTGTATTTTTACAGAAAGTATCCCTGAAGCTTAGATCCGGGCATATCAGAAAGTGGCTCATACAGCAGAAATTAAGGAATAATAGATTCTCTGTGAATTATGGCCCTTTTATCAGTATTTCAATATAACTGATTGTATGAAAATCAGAATGAAATATTGTATACACTCATAAGATGAAGGCTTGCAAGAGGAGTGAATGAAAATCTTCTTGCAGTGATAGTAATGTATTTTTAAGTGTTATTCTGTGAATGCTTGAATGTTTGAAAACTATTGGTTAAATAATGCATCCAGTTTTCTTTTGTTACAACACCTATTTCTCCATGACTGCTTTCTAAATGTTATTTTAAATATCTGCTCAGCTAAGGCTATTCCTATTAATAATTCCTCATCCTTGCATTTTTTGTTTCTTTCCGGGATGGCTCATSAGATTGAGAAGTGCTGTGATTTGAGATACGGTCCTTGTTATTTCCATACCGGACTGAGCACTAATCTGCCATGTTTGACACAGGTTATTCATCATGAGGTTTGGCACTAGTGCGAAAGTGTGGAATGCCAAAAACTAAGTGCACTTCAACTGCAGCAAAGCCAGGAAAGTGTTCCCGACAGCTTTGTATTTCAGCATAAGGTTGAAGCATGCGAAGATGCAATTACAGGGCTAGCTCTGCAATGCAGAAAAAAGACTTCTCAGAGTAGTTTCTTGAAGGGCAAATAGATTCGTCATTGAGAATCAAACAGGTTTGTATTTCATACAATTCTGGCATTACTTCACTCTATGTAATTATGTATCATGAAACAGGAAACTGGAGGTGTGGTGGTTTTTTT